GGAATCTTATTCACATTGTCTTTTTTGGGAAGTCAGCTGAGCCCCAAAAAGGGATAAGCTACCTGGGGTTACATTGAGAGTCGGTGCCAGTGCCTGGGGCTCCCAGCTCCCTGGTCATATGAGAGCCTCTGAGAACTTCAACCCAGTGTTTCAGGGAGGCAGCTTGGAGTCTGGTGTCCACCTGCAGATGCGGCCTCGCTGAACCTGCCTCCAGGGTCTCTGAGCCTGGCCTTGGCACCTTGGACAGCTGGTCCTCTTCTTCCAACTGTAGTTTGGCAAAGAAGCTTCTCTGGCTGTGGTGGCTGCCCAAGGAGAGCCAAGCATGGAGAGTCAGCCCTCAGTTGCTGTCCTAACTCCTCCACATGTTCTCTTGCTAAGCGATCCCACACCCAAGAAAATTGTCCACCTCTCTGGGCATTGGTTTCCTCATCTGCACAGCGACAATAATTACACCTCCCTTCCAGGGCTGTGGGAAAGATGGGGTTTGCGAAAGTATTCTGCAGAGTGTTCTTGCTGCTATCAGTCATTTGATCAAATATTTATTGAGCTCCTCCTGTGTCAGGTTCTGGAAGTAAAAGCCAGAACTGCCTGGTGTGGGGCAGGAGTGGGGTTTGTTGACTGCTCTAGTAGAGAGGGGAGGCTCTGGTTTAGGACTGCAAGGGCCAAGGGCCACTCCTTGAGACTCAGAATCTGACCGAAGAGGGGCACCCAGGTGGCTCAGTTGGTTAAGCGACTGCCTTTGGCTCAGGTCACAATCCTGGAGTTCCAGGATTGAGTCCCGCATCAGGCTCCCAGCTCCATGGGGAGTCTGCTTCTCCCTATAATCTTCTACCCTCTCATGCTCTCTCTCTCTCTCACTCTCTCTCTCTCAAATAAATAAGTAAAATCTTAAAAAAAAAAAAAAAAAAAAAAAAGAGAATCTGACAGAAGAGGAGCAAGAATGGTGTGCTCCGGAGTTCAGTCAGGGCATGATTCAGTCAGGGCATGATGAAATGCCAGGTAGAGAGGCGAGTTGCACATCTAGAACTTTCCCAGAAGGTCTGGGCATCAGGGCCACAGGGGTCCCTGAAGTCACAGGAGTTGAATAAGGTCTTCGGGAAGAGTGTAGCAAAAAGGGCCCAGGACCCAGCTGTGGGTAACCAACCAGGTGGCAAAGGACTGAGAAGCAGCAGCCAGGGAGGAAAGAGGGAAACTGGGGCATTGCTGGGACTCGGGACGCTCATGGCAAGCAGCTTCATCATGGTGCTGGAGGCAGGACCACAGGAGTGCACTGAGTGAGGAGTTGGAGGGGAGAATCCAAGACACCAAATGTGCACAGAACTCTTTTAAGCAAGACCCTAAAGGGGAGAATAAAGAAAGGGGTCACTGGGGAGGGATATGGGGTCAAGAGAGATTTGGGGCTTTTGGCTCTGGTTTTTTGGTTGGCTTTTTAATATGCTGCATCATGGAGTAGGAAACCTTGATTTCAAGCAAGAGAGAACAGCTCGGGTTGAGATAGCCAGAAAGGGAGTTGTCGGAAGACTGCGGGGAGCTCAGAAAGGAAAGTAACGTGGAGAGCTAGCCTTGCTCCTCTAAGCTGGGAGTCAGGTGACTCCAGACCTCAACAGAGGGAGCCACTTCCCAGTCTTGCCCAGTCACAGCCATGGAAGGAAGGATTCTGGCTTTTTTTCCTTTGTGTTCTGTTCAAAATTCTAAGTCTCAGGGAAGCAGGAGCTCATTTGTGTGAGCTAAGGCCACACACCTTCTGTCCTTGGACAATCGAGGAATACCTGGCCCGGTAGACCTCTAGGAGTACCCATGGCCTCCCAGGACATTTTCCCCAGAGGGAGGAATGGAGGCCAAGGGGCCAGACCCAGACAGATCCATTGCACGTTGTAGCAAATTCAGCATACTTGACATTGGGGGGCAAGGAGCCGTAGAGAGGGAGCGGATGAAGAGCTGGAAAGAGGGAGAACCACTGCTGGCACAAGGTCCCAATGGGCTGGAACCAGAACATGTGAAGCAGGAGTGGGGACAGCTTCTCTATGTAACTGGAAAGCGAGAAGAAATGACAGGGGTAGGTAGGTTACTAGGTTTGGAAATTTAAGGTTGATGGTTTCTCTTTTCTCTGTGACATAAAAGGCAAACTGTTGTGCTGAGACAGAAGGGAGAAGATGGGAAGGTTGGAGGGGTGAGAAGAGCAGAGGAGGTTTGAAATGGTCATTGCAGAGGGGTACCTGGGTGGCTCAGTCAGTTAAGTGACTGACTCTTGATTTCAGCTCAGGTCATAATCTCAGGGTCGTGGGATTGAGCCCCACACTGGGCTCCATGCTGGGCATGAAGTCTGTTTAAGACTCTCTCTCTCCCTCTCCTTCTATCTCCCCCCACACCCTCATTAAAAAAAATTTTTTTAAAAGAAAAGGAAAAGAAATCGTCATTGCAAAGAGGGGGAAGATCCTCTGTTGGCTGAAGAAATGCAGTAGAAGATATTGCCAAGCAGTACTGGGGCCCAAGCAAGATTTGTGACCAGCAATAATATCATCAAAGAAAAACAGGTTCTAATTAGGACTTACAGTTGCAAGAGAGAAAAAGAGAGTCACAAAATGACCACAGCATTCTGGGTGCCGGTGGCCGGGAGCATACGGCCAAGCTGGCTGGCCCTTCTGCGGTGGGTGCTTGAGTCATCAGCTTGTAAGAGTCAGGTGAGCTTGTATCGAACTCACTTACTCCGACTGTACGTGTTGTAGTGACGCAATTACATAAATAATCAAATCTAATTTAATTAAATAGGGCATGAACTAGTGGAATATGCATAGAAAAAGAAAGTTCTGTTCCTACAAAGACTAGGTTAAGTGCTTTGGAAAGTGAGTCACAAAATCGGCCATCAGGTGAGTGTGGGAAAGGCAGCTTGAAAAAGAATAGGAGGAAAATGCTAGCGATCTGGAAAGCTTCCAAATCAGATTGCTTCCCAGCTGCCATAACATTAACTGACTTGCCTACGAACCGGTCATTTATTAGACCTTAACGCAGGAGGAAGGGGCTACTAATGTATAGTTTAGGCAAACGAGGGAACTTTTTGAATCCATCTTCAGGCCCTGGCTAAAGCCAAGGACTCCGATGATGTGGACAGGATCTCTCACCTGCTCCTTCCCTCTGACACCCTCTGGGCTAATTTCTCACACAGACTCTCTCCTTTCGTGAAACAAGGTTGCTGGCAGCCCCACACCCGCCCATCTCTGGATCCGCAGACCAGGTCTTCCTGACCCTGCCTGACAATCCTGGGCCAGAGGGAGAGAGCTCTCTGGCAGGCCGGCCTGTGTCATGTGCTCTTCCAAGGATGCTCAGGACCCTGTCCTAGGACTGGCAGCCCCTCCAGGGACTCAGTGGACAGTGGACAGGCAAGAAGCTGTTGCCAGACTAAAGGGAAAACGACACTGAGTTGGCCCAAAGCGCAGATAACCACGGGTGGCAGGATCTCTGGGAGGCTCAGAAAAGGAGCCGCTGAAAATTCAAATGTGTCCGTGTGCCATCAATGCCTACAGAAGGGAAAGCTTAGATTAAGCTGAACAGTGTCTGTCTTTCCGACATGAAAATTCCTAGAGTGTGAAAGACTCTTCTCACAGCCATATGACCCGTGAGTGAAAAGGCTGTGCCTTTTTGTCTGACCAAAGGCAACGACTTCCCAGGACCTGGTATATAATAGATGCTGAGAGAAGGGAGGGAGGGAGGAAGGCTATCCAGGAATACCCATTACCTATTACCAGCTCAGTTCATCCACAGACATTTCACTGAGTCCCTAATAAATGCCAGCCGTACACTGTGAGCTGGGAATACAGACTGCATCAGAGATGCCTTGACCTCAGAGCCGGGGCGATGGGGCATTCAGGGACAGCAGTGATAGACGCACACACAGACAATTAGATCAGAGTGATGAAAGGACACAGAAGGGGCTGGAGCACGCAGAGGAGAGGCCCTGTGGTAGACCTCTGTTCCCTTTTAGCTCCCCACAATCCACACCCTCCACTTCATTTAGGGAATCACCCCCATACAGAGACTGCCAGTTGTCCCCCAATACTTACTCCCCCCTTCTATAAGCATAGTACTCCCCTCGCTGAGAACACACCCGCCCAGAGCAAAGACCACCTTTTCAAACACCGTGCAGCAAGGCCCACAGTGTGCCTGGGCTCTGTCCAGTGACGTGTTAGCAGAAGTGAGGCACACGGTTTCTAGCTGAACCCCTCAGAAGGCGTGTTTCTTTCCCTCTCCCCTGGTTGGCATGAAGCCAATATTGCTAGGCCATATTGGGGTCCAACCAAGATTTGTGACCAGCAATAATACTTCCCAGAAAGAATCATCAAGGAAAAGCAAGTTTTGATTGGGATTTACAATTGCAAGAGAGAAAAAGAGAGTCAAAGACCCAGCTTTCTGGATGCTGGGGGCTGGGAGGTTACACTTTGGCTGGCCGGGCCTTCTGCTCTCGGCAGTCAGGTGAACTGGTGTTTAGCTAATTCGTACATTCCGATGACGGCAAGAACCCCCGCCCCCCCAGGGGTGTCAGGGCAACAGGATAGAAGGACCCTACATCCCAACGCTACATAGTTGTCAGTCCACCCTGAATTGTTTATGACCGAATTTTGCATGAAAGAGAAAGTAGCCTATAGTCTATTTAAGCTGCTATGGGGGAGGGGCACTCTTGCAGAAGGAAAGCCTAGATGGTAATACATACAGCATTTTGTGCCTGCAACAGAGGTAGTACAGGTAACAAATCTTAAAATATGTTCTCAACACATAGATATTGTAAGCCGGGAAGCTGGAGCCCCTTGCTGTGCCCTGCAAAAGCAGTTGATAAACTCCCACAGTCCCCTGGAAGGTCATCTGTAACTGTAGGAAAATGAATGAATATTTCAGGACGCTCGTGTTTGCTGGCTGCTCCTTGCCACTCTCAGCAAAGGCCTCCGTGAGCCAGGAGAATCTGAATAGAGCTAGCCAGCATGCAGGCAGAGATGGGAGGGAATGCACACGGGCGAGCAAACGCTCTCGGGCTGTGATTTCTCAGAGCTGAAAACTCCAACCACTTCTATACAGCAAACTGAAGCAGATCTAGAAGACATTTTTGAAGAAGGGGTATTAGCAGGAGACAAGACTATGGACACTAACTAGTCTTTCTCAAGCGTTTTCAGCTAAGAGTTTTCACCCCAACATTGACAGCCAGCTCAACGGCAAAGGCCAGACCAATGGTGTTGCCTTCCAGTCTAAGCTGAATGTCTTCGCTGGTCTCGGGTCCACAGGGAGGTGAACAGCTATAGCAGGCAGGCTGTTAAATGAAAGACCAGAGTTTCTAAGCTTAAATATTAAATATGGGTCCGTGAGAAGATCTGGAAGCAAATAGGCAGAAAGCCAAGTAAGATTCTGAGGGATATGTGTGTTACCAAAGAAAGCCTGAGCCCAGCCAGGACAAAGCCCTCACTGCTGACTCCTTAAAAAACCAACCTCCACAGGGTGATGTATGGAACTGTTGAATTACTCTATTACTATATTGTACACCTACATATAAACTGTATGTTAACTCCCCAGAACTAAAATAAAAACCTAAAAGAAAAAACAGCTAACCTCTCGCCGACAAACCCATACCAGCAGGAAGTGGGCTGCATGACTGTACAATCCCAAGAGATGTACACCTTCAATGCCAACTTTGGATTTGGCTACAGAAGGTAGTAGACAAAGAGGGGACCACCAGGGCCCCGAGGGACAGTCCTGGAGAAAGGGCTGTCATCCAAGAAATATACTCCACTCCCTGGGAATCTTCACAGTTTCTGCCTGGTAGGACTTGATGATGGTGGCCAACCAGTAGCTTCAGTGGGTTTCTGTGTTTCCTTAATCTGGACAGGGGTTCCTACTGTGTTATCCTATTCTGACTGACTGTTGTGTATGCGGTATGATGAGACAGCTTGTATGGCCACACCATAAAGAACCACATCCATCCCTGACACCGAGGAAGAGGGCATTCCAAGCTTTGAAGAACAGGGCACACAGACATTTGGTTGGCCCAAGGGATAGACTGGGATAAAGAAGGCTAACCAACCCCCTAACAGTCAAAATCTCTTCATATGTTTAAAGAATCTCTGCTTTTTATCTGGGGACATGGAAATCCAGGTGGTTGTGGGGGGTGGGGGGCTATATTTCCTAGAAGCTATGTTTGGGCAAGTAAGTGACCAGTAGGACTGAAGTGGGGAGAGGTGATTCTTTAACCAGAAGTAGGGGCAGTCTTCCTCTTTTCTCTTTTCTGTTTCCACTGGCTGGGTGGTAGAAGTGGTGAAATATGTCAAGCTACACGAATGCACAATACCTGTGAATAGTGAATAAACAAGAGAAGAAGAAATCTGGGCTCAGGCTGCTTACCTGAAGACAGATGAGAGAGAAAGGAACTTCCGTCTTGCTTATGCCAACCTTATTCGAGGTTTCTCTTCCAGCAGTTCAACCCATATCCTAAAAATTACTCACCCTTTCCTTTACGCCCATGTGTTTTGGGTGTGTCTTAGAGGAGGAGCACATGCCTGGGCCCAGGCCAATCACTTGCATCACATCTCCCTGGCTCCGGAGATGGCTCAGGATAAGCATGCGTCCCACTTAGAGCCAATGACATGCAATCAAGAATTTCTCTGGGAGTCCAAAGAAAGAAACTCAACTCCTGTCCCTAAGGAGATGTGCGGGCTGAAGCCACCATCTTACTCAGAGCCTGATGCTGGAGCCAGCCCAGAGGGTGACAAGGTGAAGGTGTGAAGAGAAGCAAGGTCCCAGGTACATCATCTGAGCCTTGAATGCAATTTAGGCTAAGGCTGGTCTCATTCCTTGACTTCTCAGTTACAGAAGCCAATAATTATCCTTTTTGTTTAAACTAGTTTGGGTTAAACTTCCATCCCTTGCTACCAAAGGTGGCCTCGGTGATAGTCTTCAGCCCAGACTGGGAGTATCATGGAGATGGCATGGAAGGCAGATACCTGAGTTCAGTCTTACAAGGGAAGTCAGAAACCACCTGAAGCTTGCTTGGGAAAACATGGATTTGTTATAAAGATGCATGTGTATTTGAACTAGAATTGGAAAGGTCTCAGGAACTAGCCAGACAGATCCAGCCATAGTCATTGCTGCATCACTTCCTTCCCAGAGCCTGGGAGCATCATCTCCCTCCAGAAGGTCCTCTGCTCTACACTCTGTACCAACTAGCGCCCTCTACTGATGCAGAATTTCCACTGTTTGGACACCTTGAATCACCAAGGCCCCAGCTCCTCCTGGTGGCGTCTCTCAATGCATCCTTTTCACTTCTGCTGCTAGCTGCCTAACTCCTGACATTCTTCCCAACTCCCAGTTCAAACAAAAGAAATCTGATAGACACAGGTCATCCCTAATGCCAAAGGAAAGCACAAGTCCTGGCCAGCTGATGGATTCAGCACCTAGGTCAGGAGCCCCTTCCCATGTGATGGTCACATGGTCTAAAACAAGTCCACCTGCTGGTTGGGCTGTTAGGGCTGTAGGCATGGCAGGTACCACTACTGATGTGCCTTGCATATCTATTAAAAAAATATTATATTAGGCAGTACTCTTTTGGCTTTGAGAGGCAGGGCTCAACTCAAATTGGCTAAACCACCCAAAGGACATTTCTTGGGCTCTTGTAAAATCCAAGTCCAAGGCACTCAGGTTTTGCTGCATCTAGGTGCAGGGGATGTCCTCAAAGCCTGGCACCTCTCCATCTCTTTTAGCCAGACTTCCCATACACAGTTGGCTCTCAGCAGCTCCTGGATTATATCCTCACATCTAAAAGTCCTTGGAAAAGAATTTAAAGAGTTGAAAAAAAATGCCAAGTTATTGTATTAGCTATTATTGTTGTTATCACTTCCTACAGTTCCCCCCAAATGTGAGATTTGAGTTACAGTAAACTAATGTGAGTCACTGTGGCCTAAGAAATGTGATGCTCTGACTGACAGGTTCTGGATCGGGTGGAACTCTGGAGTTAAGAAGTTATCCCACCCTGTCACATAGTCTGAGATTAGGGGAGAACACATGGATTTTGTTGCCAGAAGAAGCAATAGATTTTGGACAGGTAAAAACAACAGATGCCTGCTGCAATTCACACCATTGGCCACCCACCATCTGCATATATCCTTCCTTCCATAAACATACTTGTGAAAATATTCTTGTTTAAAATAATGCAGTTATACCATATACCACCAAACCCTCTCATAGCAATGGTAACAGAAAAAAATAGGGTCTAGATTCTCCGACAGTTGCTGCATCCAGCTCCAGTTCCAGAATCTCTGGGTGGTGTGTGGTCCTTTCAGAGAGCCCAGAAGGAACGGTCCTAAGTGAAGCTCTAAAAACCTAGAGAACAGGACCCAAAGGTGATCTATTTCAAGTGCACCATCGAGGTTAATAAGTTCCAATAATCCAACTCATCTGGATTATTCTACTCAAGATTCAAGTTTCAGACTGAGAGCAGAAGATTAGCCTAAAATTCATGCCAAACCCACTCCTTGACCAGAGGAAAACAGGGCGGAGTGCATCTGATGGAAGAGGGAACCCGGTTTCCGTTACTGTAAGAAGGAAGCATGGGCATGGGGGTGACTTGGCAAATCCTTTCTGTATGTACCTCTGTGGCCTGACAAAGTGATAGAGACACTGCTGGTGGGTGGGTGGCCAGCTCTGTAGGTTCAGGCAGCAGCTCCAGATACGCAGCTCTCTCTAATGCCTAGGAACATGTGAGCTCCCAATTCACACCGTGAGGCCACTAACAGCTTACTCTGGGGGACGTGGGACACTGTGCTAATTCAGACCTAGGTCTTGGCTCCTCACAGGTCTGATCGTAACATTGCCTGAGGCCCAAATGGAGGGCTGCTGCTGATGGCCTACCTGTGTCAGGAGAGACTAGATTTTGCTACAACCTCAAGCTTCGTGGAAGTATCAGTGGCTTAACTGAGTGAAGGTCTATTTCCTGCTTGTGCTTTACATTTCTCATAGATTGGCAAGAGAGCTCTGTTTATCTCAGGAACCTAGGCAACTGGAGGCTCCTCGACATGTGCTTTTGCAATCAGCACCTCGATGGAAAAGAAGGTGGAGAATTAGGCACCAACTCTTAAAGCTTCGACCAGAAAGTGACACATGTCACTTCTGCTCATATTTCATTGGCCAAAGTAAATCACACATCCATATCTAAGTCCAAGGGGAGGGGGGGCTTCATTCCACCTGCATGAAAAAAGGAAAGTCAGACACACACTGCACTAATGGGAACCACTACCCAGTTTCTCTCTCTTCTTCCTTCCTACAAGAGTCACAGTTTTGCCCAGGATGACAGTGTACCCAGCCAAATCTACCTTTCCAGACTTCCTTGGAGCTAGAGCTAGACATGTGACCCGGTTCTGACCAGTAAGATGCAGAAGGGAGCCCCTGGGAAGGAAAGCTGATGTGATGCCTGGAGATGCAACAGCCATACTGTGAGCATAAGGATAGAAGCTACACGATAAGGAAGGCAAAAGAAGAGGATGAGGGAGCCTGAGATCTTGATGAAATCCCTGAGCAGCTGCCTTGTCCAGGGTTGCCAATCTGTAGGCTGCTTGTTACAAGAAAACAAAAAACCCTATCTCTTTGATTCACTGATAGTAGGACCATCTGGTATTTGCATTCCTTACTATTTACCCTCACTGTGTTTTAAGTTTCATTTGTTCAGTTAAAGACTGTGTGTTCAGTCTTTAACATGCAGACAATTCATGGTGCAGTGGAAAGAATAAGGGCTTTGGATCACTCAGTGCAAGCTTCAAATCTAGGGTCAACCAATTTCCAGCTATGTGTCCTTAGGTCGATAACAAAGGACATATAATTAAGGCTCTTTGAGCCTTGGTTTCCTCATCTGTAAAACGGGAATAAAAGTCCTGTGATACAGACAGCCATTTCCCTTATTCACCTCCCACTGTTAGAGTGAAAAGGTCAGATACCCACTGTCTTGGTCTCCCTGGAAACCAGCATGGCTGCATGTGGATCTAGCCAATGGTGTATAAGAGCCAATGTGCTAAAAGTTTCTGATGAAAGGAGAGAAGTAAGTGAGGAGCGTGTTCCCTTCCTTCTTTTCCTGCCTTTGGACTTGGTGCTAGAGGACATCAAGTGTGGTGCTATAGTAGTTAGTCCTGCAACTTTAAGGCCTATGTGCCTGCTAAGACGGACAGAGTAGAAAATAACAAGAAGCCTGGGTCTTGGATGATAACTTCAGCTGCCAAACCAAATCTGCAGCCATCTCACAACAGATTTCTTGTTAATCTCATATTTCACCAATCCTAAAACCCACATGCTTCTTGACATTTAACACTTCCAAAATCAAGTCACATCTCACAGGTGATTGGACAGTAAAGAATTGTTTTGTAGTTCGACAGCATTTTTTTTTCTGATGCAAGGAAAGTGATGCAATAGTGGTACATTTTACAATCAATAGCATCTTAGAGTTACTGGAATATGAAAATAAATCTCTTTATGGTTCAAGTCACATTAAGTCAGGTTTTCTGTAAACTGTAGCCAAAAGAACTCCGAACTGGGAAAAATATCTACCGTAGATGGTGGTTGTGAAGAATGAATGAATATATAATATGTAAGCAAAGTACTTGAGGTAGATTTTTTTAAAGGGATGGTATTTTGTCAGGGCCTCGATATCTAGTTATATAAATTATTTGTCCAACTGTAGACACACACGCAGTCCCTAAGACTGGTATATGTCTAAAAAATAAGTCCAGGGAAAACATGAGTTACAAGTCTGGACCTCAGAGAACTCAAAACAGGTAGCAATCTTTTTTTTTTAAGGTTTTAATTTATTTATTTGACAAAGAGAGAGACAGAAAAAGATGGAACACAAGCAGGGGGAGTAGGAGAGGAAGAAACAGGCTTCCTGCTGAGCAGGGAGCTTGACATGGGACTCGATCCCAGGACCCTGGGATAATGACCTGAGATGAAGGCAGAAGGTTAATGACTGAGCCACCCAGGTGCCCCAATAATCTTGTATCATTTGAAACTTTTAGTTACAGATAGCAGGTACCTACTCAAACTGGCTTAAGTATAAATGAGAATTTATTGACTCACCTCGGGGAAAAGTCCGGTGATGTTCTAGCTTCAGACATGGTCTGATTCAGCTGCCACAAGGACCCAGTGACTCTCACCCTCAGTCCCTGGGCACCCACTGTTCCAAGCAGATTCTGTTCTGTCAGGCTCTTTTCTCCTGCAAGATTCCTTGGTGAGATTCAAGGCCCTCCCAGAGGCCTGTGGCCCAGCGCTGTCAGGAAAACTGGTGTTGCCTCTCATTGGTCCTGGTCCGTCCCAGTGTCTGTGTCTCCCTGAACCCATCACTGCCTCGGGAGAGAGAGCTTCGGAGGAATTAAGGCAGAGGGAAGGGTCAACCACACCTGAGTCACTGGCACTGATAAGAGGGAGAGGAGTTCTCCCAGAACACATCTGGGGCACCATGTTAGCAGAAGGACAAAGGATGCTATGGTACAACAACCCCAGATGTCTTCCCCAAGCCTTCTCCTCTCTATCCCCTAAGCCCACTACCACCATGCAGGCCTCGCACTATATCACTCCCTCCACAATAAAAGGTGGTCCAGGAAGACTAAAGTCAGCCAGTAAGGAGAAGTGACAAGGCCATCCACCCTGGGGCCACAACTCCAAGGGGTGTGGAGGGGGAGAAAGGGCATAGCCCTCTGAAGGGGAGCCCTGCTCAGCTCACCACTCTGGTCTCACCGGAGTCATCAAAAAGAGTGACTGTGTTTCAGTCAATTTTCCTGCTTAGGGAACTCTATGGCAATCATCCATGAGCGTTGATATTTCCCTCCCATGTCTGCAGGTTGGTGGGGGTCAGCTGGCGTAGACTGGATCTTTTGACCCCAGGCTCTCAGATAGGTTTGGGTCCGCTCCACAGACCTCTCACTGGCCTTCAGCCAGCAGCTACCTGGGCCATCCCTTTCTAACCCTGATGGCAGACACTCAAGAAAACAATTTCCGGTCTTGCATCATCTCTGCTAACATTCTATTGGCCCAAACAAGTCACATGGCCAAGCTCCATGTCGAGTGGGGAAGTATGCTTCTGCACCGCATTGCAAGGATGGGGAAGTATGACGTCAGTACCAGGAAAAGAGGACCTGGGACCGACCGTGTAATCCCCGCAGCAGGGAACTGAAGGGCGGCCTTCCCACAGGCTCAGCACTCGTAACTGATTTGTTTGTCAGAGTGAAAGCTCACCTTTAAACCCTGAGCTGAACAATTTTGGCCTTGTCCATGATTACATGATCTGTCTGGGGGAAAGGAGGAGGAGGATGTGAGAGAGCCCTGAACTCCCGATGGCGGTCACACCTAGAATGGAGTCACAGCTGACAGAGATCCTCCCTCCTCTGTCCACTGCCCTCAACGGTCGGGATCCCGTGCTGACAGGGCCCAGCCCGGGAATTATCGTCTCTGCAGCTTGAATTACAGTTAAGTCTTCCGGTCTCCCGCAGCTCAGGTGGGCCTCGGGCAATGCCCTCTCTCTAACAGAGTGACGCTGTCAATGTCTTCTCTCCTCCCACACCTTGCCGACACGGACTGCTGAGGTCAGAGGACAAGGACAGAGGAAGAGAAGGCAGTATGGAAAGTTCTTTCTCGATGGTCCCATAAGATGGCTTTATGCTCACTGGATCTGGAAGAAATTTAATGCTGTCATGGGCGCTTTCAAAAGTCTCTTGCAGACCCTCTCTTTCCACTGCCACTCCCTACACTGCCATCTCCACACCCAGGTCCAGAGCTGTAGTTCCCTGACCCCAGCCAATGAATCAGACGCCACTGGCTTCCTCCTCGGCCCCTATAAAGTCCACCTCCTCCTTCCTTCTGCTGTACTTCCATTGGTTCTGGGCAGGTCTTGGGTCAGGGTCAGAGATAATGGCACAGTGGCTCTTTTGATCATGTGGACCCCTTCGATTCCTCCCATCCTGACAAGCCCCTGGGAGCGGGCTGGTGGCAACTGCCCATCCAGTCAGGTCCACACTCCCGCCAAAAGTGGCTCACCTGATCAACAAGCCTTTGACACCACCCCATTAGAGGGAATGCAGCCGTTTCCCAATACAGCAGCAGCATGCCTGCCCCTCAGCCCCCGCCACCTCAACCCAAGAACCACAACCAGCTGTGTGCACCAGCCTCCAGTCAGGCTCTTTTCACGAGATTTGCTGGTGAGATTCAAAGGCCCTCAGGAAGAGCCTCTGGCCTGGCACGGTCAGGAAAATTGGCGTTGCCTCTCATTGGCCCTGGTCAGTCCCTGTGTCTGTATCTCCCTGAACCCATCACAGGCACAGGGGGGAGCTTCGGAGGAATTCCAAACTCCCAAACTCCAGAGGACACAAATCAGGCTCTCAGAGAGGTCCTGTTCAGGCTCATGGTCTCTGGGCTTGAGGGAGGTATGACTATTCCTCCTGTCCCCCATGGTAGGGGGTCCCCACTCAGCTCCAACCTTTGCCAAAGTCCTCTCCGTCCTCCACTCGCTCAGCTTTGTCTTTCCCCCAATGGGCTAGCTGTGAGGCTGGTTTGCGGCCTTCTTTGACAATCTGTATCTCTGCCTGTCACCTCTCTTTGGAGCTGGATGGCTAACTTCTTAGTGTCTCTGTCAAAACATTGATGTAACACCTTGATACATTAAAACAACATTTTATTTTAAAAAAGTATTTCCCAGCAGCCCCCTGAAAGATGTCCTCACGTGTCTTACCAGCTAGAGCCCTGCCACGTGGCCACCAGCAGCTGCCAAGAAGGCTAGTCAAGTCAGAATCTAGCAGAGGGGGCTGAGAGCACCGTGCGTGGCCCAGACAGCTCAGACGCATCCCTGCCCCAGCACACAGCTGCTCCCACAAGTCTGGGTTCTGCTGTTAGCAACAAAGCTGGAGGGGTCGCGGGTGAGCACAGGATGCTGAGGAATAAATTGGCTGCTGACGGCCACAATAGCCTTGACTGATAAAAGACCCGCCCCTGAGTGGCCAGTCATCTGGGGATAGCTGCAGGGCCAGAGATGACAATTCAGAAATGACCAGCTTTGCCTCCATCCCTGACTTCTGCACTGTGTGAGGGGTCGGTCAGGTGACCCGGAGCTAGAAAAACTGATGTCAAGACCAGCCAGTCGCCTCCTAGCTCGGTGGCCTCCGGCGACTCCTCACGTCCGTCCGTGTCCCTCACTTTCCACCTGAGTGAGATGGGAAGGAGCTTCACAGTGCTTGCCCGCCCATCCAGTGCCTGCCTCAGCTAACAATTAATTAAGACTCTTCATTGCAAGTGACAGAAATTACCTCATACTGACTTAAGAAAAAAAAATTATTTAATTTATTGAACCGTCTGGGGAGAGATGACTCCCGGCACAGCAGGGCCAGGGGTCAGACAGTATCCTGAGGCTCTGTGCTCCTGTGCCGGCTTTGTCTCACATACCCTGTTCCACACGAGTGCTCCCACCCACCCCATATGTAGCTCCTTCCGCTTCCTCCGAGCCTGAGAAAAAAGGAGTGTCCGCAAAAATGGATTCCACAAAAATTCCAGGGCTGAAACCACTGCTGTGTCCAGGGAACGAAGCACACAGCGGGATGGTCTTCCATCAGCTTCCATGAGGGCAAGGAGGGGAGAGAGCAGTTCCGGAGAAAGAAAAGGTAGGCTGTTGTTGCCAGCAGAGAGAAAGGCTGCCAAGCAAGGGCAGGAAGAAGGACGAGCCAGGCAGGGCAGCAGAGAAAACTCCTGTGGGGCAGGCATGAGCTGTGGGCTCCGGGCTCCATCCTGGGACGCTGAGTGTTTGTCCGCAGGAACTATTTGGAGCCAGGATGGTGGAGTGGAGGACAAGCAGGAAGCTTCTGACCAAATAAGGAAAGGTACTTTCTCCAAGCTCCTCAAAAGTAGGAAAGTAAGGCCAATCTAACAGAACCAGAGAAAAGACAGGCTCCTTCCCCATCTCACAGAGAGGGACCTGGGCTGACCAGGGTGGAGTTTACATAACTGTGAGCAACACGGTCTTCCACGGGGTTCTTGACATGGCCTTTATCCTGCTCTAGTCTCTCTGTTCCTAGGTGATGAGAGATGACACTTCCTCAGACGGGCTGATTCTTAAGGTTAATTGAAAGTGGCCTTTCTCATGAATCACCCATTGCACTGAATTATTAATCACCTGCAGGCATTTGCAGGCCTTTAAAACACTTGGACTTCCTGCAGCCCTTCTCAGGAATGCTTTTGCCAGTTGAAATATGACTTCCTTTTGGCCACAGAGAAGAGAAACCCTGTCTGCTGCTCTTTCCAGTGTTCCCAGCTCCCAAAGACCTGGAGAGGAACAAGATCTGAAAACAGGAAGCTGGGCCAGGGCTGCAGCTCAACCTGGAAGCTGCTGTCATGTGAACAGGCTCCAGCTCAGCCGGACTCGGAGCCCCTGCGAGGCCATGGACAGAGGGAGTCCGGGGGCTGGGTCTAGCTCCCCCACTTAGCTGGGTGGTCCATGGAACTTCTTTGATTTGGTTTCCTCATGAGAAGGAGCAGACCCAACTCTGCAGGGCTGACACAAGGTAGGGTTCAACAGGTCATGCACACTGAGCCAGCATCATGGTGCCCAAAACATAAGGAGGAACAAGAAAGGTGAACTCACACCCCCCAACACCTGCTTTCCTCTTCCAGTGGAGCAAAAAAGACTGAAAATTCAGGGGGCTGGCTGCATGGGTAAGGTGCTCGCAGGCTGAGCTAGCAACGTGACAGCAAGACCCCACAGCCAGGCTCCAGGGCAAGGTCAAGAGCTCCTGCCGGGCCCCAGAGTGTGGGCCTGGGATGTGTGTGATGTACGGATGACACTGGCAGAAGCCAGGGGGCAGCTCATCCTCAGGGTGCAAGCCTTTCTTCCACCACTCAGCACAGCCTCAGCCCCGGAGGCTGATGTTGGGATGCTGAGTTGAGAAAGACATGGCTCCCTGCCTTCATGAAGTCCTGGTCTGCTAGGGACAGTCAGGTGGGGTGATGGTCACAGGCACTGAGTGCTGCAGACGGATGGAGGTGGGGGAGCATCTGGGTGGCTGAGAATGGGGAGGAGATCCTGGAAGACATAGTGGAGGAGGGGGTATAGGGTTGAATCAGATTCAGACAGGAATTGGGTGCTGTGCTCCGGGTTGATTATGGCAGAGACCCGGCAGGAGTGTTTGGTGGTGATGGAGTTGGACAGAGGAGGAAGAGCTGGCAGAAGCAGGCCATGCTTGGATGTGGATGGTGAGGAAAGGAGACCAGGAAACCGGTCTTGGAGGCCTTGGAAGGCAGAGCATGGGGCTGGGGGAGGACGGGCAGCTCTGGACCTAACACCTCCAGACTGGCCACAAAGCATTCCCTCTTCCAGAAGCACCCACTCACGCAGCTTGGGGCCAGTCATGGAGATGGCTCCAACGATGTCCACATCCTAATGCTTGGGACCTGGGAATGGGTTACCTGACATGGCAAAGGGGACCTTGCAGAAGTGATTAAAGTAAAGATCTTGAAATGGGACAATTACCCTGGATTTTCTGGGCAGGCCCCACCTAATCACCTTATAAGAGGGAGGCAGATCTACTTAGATGTGACAATGACAAGGATTGGGATGCCTGGGTGGCTCAGTCAGTTGGGCGTCCAGCTCTTGAGTTCAGCTCAGTTCATGATCTCAGAGTTGTGAGATTGAGCCCTACATCAGGCTCTGTGCTCAGCAGGGAGTCTGCTTAAGATTCTTTCTCTCCCTCTGCCCCTCCCCGTACTCATGCTCGTGCTCTCTCTCTCTCTCTCAAAATAAATAATAAAAAATAACAAATATGATAAAGATTCAGAGAGATTAGAAAATGCTGCTACCCCTTAAAGACAAAGGAAGGGGCCACTTACAAGCAGCTTCTAGAAGCCAGGAAAAGATGGGAAATGGATTTTCTCCCCAGCCTCCAGAACAAAGGCAGCCCTGCAGACCTCTTTCAGTCCTCTGACTTCAGGCTGCAAGACACTACATTGTTTTTAACTAACAGAAAACTGACATGCAACTAGACCCGAGGAGAGAGATGAGGAGGCTTTGAGGGGGACCCAGACCCCACTTCCCGAGATGTCATCAGCATCACCAGCTGGACAGAAGCAAAGGTCAGAGCCCCAGGTTCTCCAGACACCAACATGATTTGCAGGAGGGGAAAGGTGGGGAAAGGAAATGCCCTGCCTCCACCAGGCTCCTAGCAGTCTTCGGGGGTGGAGAGCAGAGAGAGGCCCTACTGGGTAGAGATGCAAGAACTCCCTTCTCACCTGACCATGGGAAGAAAGTAACCGCCCCACCTCCCACCCCTGGGAAAGGAGGGGGACCCCAGTTCACCACCCATCGTGCCTCAAGTCAACCAGAGCTGGGGGCAGGACAGCCTGGAGGACCCCCCCCCAACCCCGTCTAGTTTACTCAGCCTCCTCCCTACCGTGTGATAGGCACAGGTGCCAGGCAGGAGCGGGGCCCAGACTCGCTCTTTGGACATGACCTTCAAGGCTGTACTACAAGACTGACCCTCCCTCCCCACACACATACATTTCTTTTGGTTGCCTACTATAGATGCCGCCTCGAGGTTTCAGATGCTCCCCCCCACCCCCGTACCCCACCCCCCGCTCCCCGCCCCAGAGCGCTCCGCAGGGATGGCTGCGCGTGGCCCAAGAAGGTGCGTGTGGATGGGGCGCAAGACCGGTGGGAGCGGGCAGGGGAACTGCAGGGCCTTTCCTCCAGCCTCCCGGGAAGGCTGCGTTCAGTAGTCTCGACTGCACTGCCCCTGCGCTCTGATAATAATCACTACAATAATAAGGGTTTCGGGTGTCGAGGGAATCCAGCTGACTCCAACCTGAGCCACATAATCACCACAGTAGTGGGTGGCAGGCTCTGTGCACCCCCAACCCCACACCCTCAGGCTAAGTCGCCATTCTAAGCCGTATCCATTACATACTTCCATCCAGAGAGAGTACTATTGCTAACCCAACTGAGGACAGAGAGCCCAGGGTGCTGAAGGAAATTGTCCCAAGTGGCACAGCTGGTGGGTGGGGAGCGGAGTCGGAACCCAGAGTCGTTGTAGGAGGGCCTGCTGCAGAACCAGGGCTCTCCAAAGCCTCGTTATTTTGTGTGCTGCGACGGTGGACGAGTGAACTTGAGGGCCGCACCGGGAGCCACGGGGACCCGGAGCGGAGAGTCCGCCCTGGGAGCTGGGCAGGCCCCAGGAACGCGGATAGGCGCCGGGCCGGAGCGGGGGTGTGGGGGGACACAGCCTCACGCTGCGGGGGGCCGCGGAAGGTGGAGGCGCACTCCTAGACCTGCAAGTGGCTTGCCCAGGCAGCCAGGCGTGAAGGTTCGGGTGCTGAGCCCTCCATCAGACGCGGCGGCCAAGGCCTTAGCCGGGGGCCCTCGCACCCCACCCCACCCGAGCTGCGGGGAGCCCCGGGCGCCCCGTGCCGCCCACCCCGGAGCCCTGCAGTTTCCCGGCACGCACCAGGGGCTCCCCTCTGGGGCGGCGAGCGGGGCCTGGCCGGGGCGGAGCTGCGGCGTCCGGGGGCGGGCTCCCTGACCCGCGGTCTGTAGCCAAGGCCGGGCGAGACCAGGGACCGCCCCCGCGCCCTCCCGACGGCCCCCGCCGGGCCTTAAAAGCCTGCCCCGCGGCGGCTGGAGGCGCGGAGATACGTGCGCCCCAGCCCCGACAGCCGGCCCGAGCAGTCCCATGGCGGGTAAGTGCCCCTCGCCGCACCCTCGCGCCCAGCGCGGCGTCCCGGCCCCCCGCCCAACCCCCGCCGTGGCCGCACTTTGCCTCTCCCCGCCTGCCCCGCCGGGGCTCAGCCCGCACCCTGCCCGTGGCTCCTAGCGCGGGGTGAGGGTGAAGTGGAGAGGGAGACTCTCCTCCCAGACAGTTGCGGGACAGAAAGTGTGGGGATATCGCCTTCTCACCAGTCCCCTCGCTCCAGACCCTAGAGCCTGCCAGAAGCCCCTTGTCCGCACGTGACCCGAAGCAGGCACCTTCTTTGCTCTTTGAGGGCAGCCAGCGCCTGGGAGCGAGCGTCCTGGTGCTCTCAGCCTGCGCTGAACGCGAGTGGATCCGGCCAGGCCCCCTCAAATGATGGGGTGCAGGCAGTCAACTGTCCTTGTGTCTCTGTTTCTCGCACCTACTGCGCCTTTCCTCATCGACACTCCTTTCCGTTGTCTTCAACTGATTCCCCTAAGTGGCTTCATCTTGATAGAGGGTTGAGGAAGGGATTGGGTTTTAGAGAAAGTTACAGAATTCAAACACGAGCCCAGTCTCTCAGCAGGCTCCGGGACCAAAAAGGATAGGGATGCAAACCAGGACATCATCCCTTCCTGGGCTTCCCTTAAGTACAGAATGGCCACACTCGGGCTTACCCTCAAGCCTGAACAGGAACCCTGGAAAGATAAAGGTTCTGGTGAAAGCAGATGGAATGTCTCGTCAGGAGCATGAGAAAATGGTTCATTTCAGCCAGAATCTCAAGCCGAAGGCCTGCTGCTTTCCAAAGGAACAGGAAGCCTGCTTCTGTGTCAGTCCTGGGGTCCAACCCAGGGGGTGGGGTTGCTGCTCACGTTCTGCCCCTCTGCAGGCCAGCGGTGGGAGGGGGAGTGCCTTTCCCCTGGCATCACAATCCGGGTGGTCTCTGCCCCCAGAGCAGGTGGTCCTGGTAATTGGAGGCCTCACTGGGGGGCTGCTGCTGCTACTGTTGCTGATCTGGGTGAGCTGCTGTCTCTGGAAGAAGCTTCGGGCCCTGTCCACCTATGAGGAGCTGCCGGGGAGCACCGCTGCCTCCAGCATACAGGGGGGCAAGCTCTACCCCCCACCTGCCAGGACGCAGACAAGCAGGTGAGGCAGGATGTGGAGTTTCCCTTGGTGGGGGGTAGGGAGGAAAGTCTATTTTGTGGGGCTCCTCCTCTATGCTGTTACCATGCTACAAAGCAACCCCAGAATCATCACTACAAGCTCTGGGACAGGCATTGTGAGGCTCATTTTCCAGATAACAGACCCAGAGGACATAAAGCAGGCCTAGTAAGCGCCAGCAGGCATTCGAGTCCGGGCAGAATGACTCCGGAAGCAGTGCTCCTTCAGCAAGTCTCCACTGGCTGTAGATGGGCAGAGCTGTTAGCTTTGGTGGCGGGATGGTGGGGGGATGTGGATCCAGAAAATGGTGTTCTTGCCTCCTCCTGGCTCCTGCTGTCTTTTCTTCCCCCAGCCTCCAGCTCTCAACCCCTATGGGCTGAGCTCAAGGAGGCCGCAACATTCACTTGCCACCAATACGTATGTCATCTCCCCACCTCGGGACAGGCCTCCAGGTGTGCCGTTCGTGGTGCCTCCTTCCCTTCAAGACCGAGACTGGGTACCCCTACACCGTGGAGAGTGGGCCCAGGCCCCACAGGACCCCTGCCTCTCCCCAGAGCTCCTGCCCCGCCCCTCCAGTGGCAGCTTTGGTGAGTGCTGGGGTCAGGGTCTGTTCAGGCCAGGGTGGGCCCATTTGCTTTCACGGGCCTGGTTCTGGAAAACCGCCTGGACCAGCAGCCCTCCGGTAGTGCCCTCAGTGACCAGGTCCACTTATTCTGGGGGCAGAGACCACCAGGACTGTGATGCATGAGGAAAGCCCACACCACTGGCCTCCTGGGGGCAGAATTTAGGCAGCAAGCCCACCCCCCCAGGCTGGACCACAGGAGTGAAGCAGAAGCAAGGTGGCTGCTGGCTGGGCTCTGCTGGATCTCAGCAGTAATGCCATCTCCCTTGCAATCCTAGTGCTCTGGGCAGAGTTTTCTGGTTTCCCTTGAAAAGAGATGCCCAGTGACCGCTCTTTCCAGGTACTTGGGTTTACCAAATGCCTGCTGCACCCCCAGCTTGTGCCAGATCTGGCCTCAGGTGCCATTGTGGCCTTAGACCTCACCCCATGCCTCTGTGGGGGTAGACATCCTCGCCCCGTCTTACACATTCATAAACAGAGTTTCAGAAGGTTAAGAGTGCCCTGCTCAAGGTCACAGAGGCAGTAAGCAACAGGTCTGGGATTAGAACCCAGAGTGCTCAATGAGTTCTGTTCTAGGCTGACAGGTTGGATGATCCAGAGGGCAGAGTGGTAGGAGCCGGGCACACAGCTTTCTGCCTACCCCTTTGCTCTGAAGACCTTCCAAGATACCTTCCCAGGAACCAGAAGGGATCAGCTAGTCCCCTCTAATTTGAAGACGAAGAAAAGAGGCAAAACTTCATCACTGAGACATCCTGTGGACCCCATGGACAGGAGCCAGGCCAAGAGCTGGGCACTGGGTCCCCCCCACCAAGCAGGCCCTGACCTAGGGGCTGGGGTTAAATGGGGTTAAATGGGCACTCTTCTGGGGGCCTCAGAGGGGAGCAGGCCTGGATATGCCATGCCTTAGTGCTGGCAGGCTTCCTGGAGGAGTAGTCCTAGAGAGAGTGGCTGTGTTCAGTCTAGAGAAGGGTGTGGGGAGGATGTGGTAAGGAGAGGCCAGTGAACTGTCTCCTGGAGGCTCAGGCAAGAAGAGATGGGCTGGGGCAGGGGCGATGAAGCCCAGAGCTTGCTATCCGCCCCCTACCCCTGTCCCTGCCTTCCTCGGGCCTGGCAGACCACCCCGCCCCTGTGTTATAGGAAATACAGGCATGGTGGGGACCATCAACCCAGATCTATATAAGTTCCTGGAGGACAAGAGTGAGACCGACTTCCCTGAGGGCTGCCTGGGACGGCTGTGGTTCTCCGTGGAATATCAGCAGGACGCCGAGCGGCTGCTGGTGGGCTTGATCAAGGCGCGGAGGCTGCAAGCCCCCTCGGAGAGCTGCAACCCCCTCGTGAAGCTGCACCTGCTGCCCGACGAGCGGCGCTTCCTCCAGTCCAAGACCAAACGCAAGACCTCCAGCCCGCAGTTTGATGAGCACTTCATCTTCCAGGTATGACCCCTGCAGCATACAGGGTCTGGCCTCCAGGGAAGGAGCAGACAGGGTCCAGGTGACCCCAGCCTCCTGTGACAGCCAGAGCCCTGAAGGCCTCCCAGGCCCCTGCTGCCACCAGGTCTACTTTACCTGCCAGACAGGTCAGGGCCTGCAAGAGTCCAGAACCCTATTTGGGGGAGGGGGTGGAGGGCGAGCGAGGGAGGTGAGGGGTAGAGGGCTGGGATCCCTGTATCAGGGGTGCCTGGAGGAGAAAAAGAGAAAACACATCCTCGGAGCACCTACTGGATGCCAGGCTCCAGCCCACGAGGCTCTGGAGAAGCAGTCCAAAGCCCTGGAGCCTTAGGGGGTTTCTGGCAAGGTTATCCAAGAAAGGCAGAGGGTGAGACCCCCACACCCCTTAGAGCGGGGGCAGGAACTCGCCTAGTGTGTCGGAGGCAGCGCAGGGCCCAAGAGCCATCGTGCAGCCCGTGCCGCCTTGGCTGCCCTGAGGACAGGCCGGCTCAGGGTCTGCAGGGGCAGAGGCTGTCGGGGCACTGAGCCAAGCCCACAGGGGCCTGGGAGTCTGAGCAGGTGACTTGGGGCCCTGATGGGAAACCAGGCATGAAGAGCTGCCTTGAGGCCTTGGACAAACATTTTCAAGAGCCAGGCAGTAGGCTGGCAGGCAAGGTGAGGAGAGGCTGTTCAGCATCCGGGAAGAGGGTGATTGCTGAGGTCAGAGCCTGAATTCTTGCCTTCTTCTGGGCCTGAGAGCTGGAGCTGTATGGAGAGCTGGCATGGGGCCCAGATCCCACCTGTTTTGCTGGGGGTCAAGGCTGCGGGTGTTCACTGGTGACCTTGTTCTCCTCAGAACGTAAAAAGCCAAGACATGGAGCCGTGCTGCCCAGCGTGGCCGCACGGCATGTTCACAAACTTGTTTCTGTTTGCTCATCGCTTCCCTGCCCGGTCCCCACCCCAACTTGATCCTGGCCTCTCTGTTCTTTGAGGGGGAAGGGGAAGGAGACAAGGAAGAGAAGAAAATCTGTATTAACTGAGCATCTGCCACAGGGCTGACACTGTGATTGGGGTTTTACAACTCAGAGAGTAGGAACTGTTACAGGTGAGGAGACTGAGTCTCGGAGAGAGGTCTGGGGTGCCCAACTCAGTGGCAGAGACGGGCAGGTTCCCTGGGCTCCGGTGGAGGACTTCTCACATTTTTATGTGCAGGCAGATCACTTGGAGGTCCTGTTAAACGGTGGATTTCCTTCATGGGCCTGAGATGGGGCCCCATGTCCTGTATTTCTAATAAGGTCCAGGGGAGGGGTAGACACTGCTGGTCCTTGAACTCACTCTGCAGGGCAAGGCTCTGGCACACGTTCCCACTGCCACTGGCCCCCGGGGGACGGGTCCCCACTACTGGAATGGTCCCTTGACGATGTCTGGGTTTCGGGGGTGCAGGTCCCTGGCTGAACCACCTCTCACCAAAATCTCCTGTCGAGAACAGTGTACCACACCCTCCCATCCTCTGTTTCCACGCCTGACCCCAGCCCAGACCCTCATCTCTCCCAGGTGTCCAGCAAGAACATCACTCAAAGGGTACTCAGGTTCTCCGTGTACCACGTGGACAGGCAGAGGAAGCACCAGCTCCTGGGCCAGGTGTTCTTCCCCCTGAGAAATGAGCCCCTGGCTGGTGACTGCCCGCACGTCATCTGGAGAGACCTGGAGGCTGAGAGTGGAGAGGTAAAGGTCAAGGTCACCAAGCATGTACATTTGTGTGTCAGACTCCCAGGGGCAGCCAGCAGTGTGGCCCAGCGCCTACTGGCCAGCATCAGCCCAAGCAAGTGTGACTTGGGGTCATGAACCTGGGCTGGAGCGGCCCGGGATCAGGGGGCAGGGCAGAGCTGCTCCTGGGCAAGGAAAGGTGGCCTGAGGTTCTTTTGCCCTGGAGACCAGATTACCTGGATCAACTTGATTCCCTTCCAGATCAGACACCTGTGAAAGGTGATACCCCAAAAGGACCAGGCTTGCCCTCTCTTCTCCTGACCCCTGAGAAGACCCAGGCAGCTTGAAAAAGGCTTTGGAATCCCCTAGACCTGGGTTTGAACCCTCAGCTCTGACACTCACTACTGTGTGACCTTCAGCAAGCCCTTTCCACTGTCCAGACCTCAGTTTCCCCATCCATTAAATGCTGGTGGGCTGAAAGGAGACACCATGGGTGATAACCCAGGAGCAGAGCCTGACTGCTGGGAGGAGGCCAGATACCACGGCCTCTCCAGCATCTGCTGAGTAACAGGGATGCTTTCCTCCGGGCCTCTCCAGCCTCCCTCCGAGTTTGGAGACCTGCAGTTCTGTCTCAGCTACAATGACTGCCTGTGTCGCCTGACTGTGGTCGTGCTGCGAGCCAAGGGCCTCCGGCTCCAGGAGGACACGAGTTTCGTCAGTAAGTTTTCCTTTGCAGGGCAGGCCCTGTCCAGTGAGCCTGTGGCCTGGGCTGGAGTCTGACTCCTTCCTCTGGCCCTTCAGTTTCTGCCTGCCTGTGGCCCACCACGGAGTGCTCACTACCCTCTGTGGACGGCTATGATGTGGGAAGCCACTTCCTTCTATTGAACCCAAGACTGTATCCCCTTGGCCTCCACCAAGACCCCTAACACCCCCCAAGACCAAGTCCTCCCCTCCCCTTTCCCAAGGCAGCATCTTGGCTCTGTAAAGGTTCTGTCCCTCCTCCTCCACCTCTGCCCTTCCGTGAAGGATTCCAGTTTCTCCGGGGCCAGACCCCTTGCCCCACTGCCCCCGGGTGGGCTCCCTGTACACCAGGCAGGACACTGGGCAGAAAGGAGACGCTTCCCAGGCTGACAGGGAGTGCAGTGCTCTGCTTCCTCTGGCCACCCAGAACCCAGCAGCTGGAGGAGTGGAGTCCCTGCTCTGGCTCACCGAAATGTCCTGCCCTTATGCACCCCCAACACCCGGCCCCCGGCCCCGCAAGCAGAGTGGTAGCTGTCTGACCCCTGTGTGTCTCCACATCTGGGTCACCATAAGCAAGTTGTCATTCAACCTTCCACCGTGGATCCAAAATTCATCTGAGCCCCACCCCCAAAACGTTGACCCTCTGAAGAAGAAGGTGCTTGAGGAGCTCCAGGGAGCCTGAGCACTCAGCAGGCTGGGCCCCCTCTCCACCAACGGGAGAGATGGGCGTATGGTGTCAGGCTCTGGGAAGTAAGGGCCAGCGGAGCCATGATGCACTCGGGAGGCACAGAGAAAGGAAATGGAAGGGAGCCAAGCGTTTCCTCCGGTGTAAGCCCATACACTAATCGTCCCTGTTTCCTCTTGTAGTTGATGCCCTCTGGCTGCAGCAGAAGGGGCCTGGTGCCCAAGGTGGGCGTGTGGCCTCCCAGCCAGACCTCCCACAGGCCAGAGGCTGGACCCTGCCCTCCCCCTCCCAGCCCAGCCCACCATCTGCCCTGCCCCTTAGGTGTGTTTGTCAAAGTGTCTCTGATGAACCACAACAAGTTTGTCAAGTGCAAGAAGACTTCGGCGGTGCTGGGCTCAGCCAACCCCGTGTACAGCGAGACTTTCAGCTTCAAGGCCGACCCTGCGGAGCTGGACACTGCCAGCCTCAGCCTGACCGTGCTGCAGAGCACCAGAGGGGAGAGTAAGGCTGCTCCCCCACCCCCCAGGCTCTTTGGGACATGGGCACAGGAGGAGCGTTCAGGCAGTGGGACCCGCAGAGAGAGGTTTCTGTTCTCTGCCTAGGGCAACTAGAACTCAAGAGAGGCTGAGATACATGCCCAAGGACACAAAGCTTGCGAGCAGGAGAGCCGGGATTCACGCCCAGCTTTGCTCAGTTTGACTCTCCGTGGCAACGTGGCAACGTACGGAGAGGTCAAAGGGCGGCCTCTGCTGGCTCTCCACTTGGGCTCCCTTCTCCCCCATCTTCAGTTCCAGAGCAAAGCCAGGACCCTTTGGGGGCTGCCTGCTCCTGCTTCAAGAGGGAGGGGCTAGCTCCATCCTCTGAAAGGAGGAGTGAGACAGGGAAAGAGAAGGCACTGGGGGTATTGCCCAAGTGGGGCAGCTTCTGTGCTCTGGAGAATGATGGCGTTTTTCCCTCCCCTACAGACAGCCACCAGCTGGGCCGGGTGGTGGTGGGCCCCTACATGTACGCCCGAGGCAGACAGCTGGAGCACTGGAACGCGATGCTCAGCAAGCCCAAGGAGCTGGTGAAGCGCTGGCACGCGCTCTGTCCCACCCCTGAGCCCTGACTCGGCTCAGGACCTCCGCTCTGCCTCCGGAGCCTGCCCTCCCCCGTGGCAGCCACGGGCCTGGACGGTCGGGCCAGCATCTCCTTGGGCTGCCTGAGCGAGGGCAGCGTGCGTGCTGAGAGGTGGGAGAGAAGAGGGACCAGAGAGCTCCAGCCAGGTCAGCAGCATGGCTGGCCACCACCTGCCAGCCTCAGAGATCCTCCCATCTCCCTCCATCCTCCTCTCCCCGTGCTGCTGCCTGGGCTGCAAGTCCCAAGCTGTGGTCAGCACAGTCCCCATCTGGACTGGGATCTCAGGCCTTCAGAAGAACTGTTCTATTCAGTGATAGCAGAGCTGTGTGTGCTGAGCAGAGACCCGGGCTCCACCATTCTGGAAAGCTGATGGTAGGTCAGTGCTGGACGGGCACAGCGTCTCAGCTGTGGTTTTCCTGCCTCCCGCCAAGCAGAGAAAACAAACTGCTCTAGGGGAGTCGTGGGGGGTGGGGGTGCCCAAAGCGCTGATTCCAGCTGGCCCACAATAAAGAGCCCCGTCTGAAAGTTGGGGTGGGCGTCGGGCACATTGGAATGGAACAGCCCCCAGATGCCTGTGCAGCACAGCATGCCTGCAGCTCGGGAGAGAAAGCTCTCAGGGGTCGAGACTCGCCGGCTTCAGGCCTGGGGAAGAACACTGTCCACCAAGTGGACATACGCTCCCTGTGCCAGGAGGAGGCCCTCACCTGTGTTGGGTCCCTCCCAGGACCATGTCACATCCTGCCCATGGCCCGTCCTCCCCAGAACCCAAGCCTCACGCCCCTGGTCTTCCAACTGGCTGTCCTACGGGTTTCTGTGGTCTCCCTGGTTGACAGCGTTCAGCTCGCACAACTCACTTTGGGCAAGAAATGGTGAAAGCACGCAGCCAAAGCACAGCTCCCAGGGCCGAGAGCTTTCCCTGTAAACCCAGCGATTTCGTTAGGATGACTGTGTTGTGACAGGTGCCCACGTGAGGCTCATGGAGTTGAGAGTCCCCACAAATCCCGGTCATCCCCTCCCCGAGACGCTGTCCTCAGGGTAATGAGCCATTACTGTGTTTATCACTGTTACTGAACAGGTAGCTTGTATTTTCCCCCACATGCTTTTGAACTTGCGGGGTCAATGCACTGTGAACGTATACCTGGAACAAACTTCAAACCCGTCTCTTTTCTTACGCAGTGAACAACTTCAGCAAAAGAAAGTAGTGAGCATTATACTCGGTCTGTGCCTCTTCGATCTCACTCCCGATCTCTGTCCATGCACAAAGACAAGCTTTACCTGGCAGTGGTCCGTACAGACAGAATATCTTGTGTTTGCTTTTTCTCACTTATTTCATACATACATTCCAACAAAGCCCACACTCCAGTTATTGCTAATAGCGTCAGAGCACACACATTCTCTCTGTGTGTCTAGCAGGCTGCTAACCTAGAATGGTTTCCATCTCACCCGGGGTCCCGAGACAAGAGGTGCCAGCCACCCCCACATTTCAAGGTGACATTCATGCCTACTAGGTGGCCTTTCCAGAGCCACTTGGAATAGTTGGTAAGTATCCCTTGGCAGGACAGAGTGGACTGGTGTGTCTGACTCACAGCTGAAAAATCTCAATGGCAAGAGACTGACAGTTCTCTGCTCCAGCAGAGAGGAGGAAGGGGTTGCTGTATGGGGCTGAAATGTCTACAGACGTGGTAAGAGCAAAAAATACACAAGTGCTTCCAATGGACCAGAGGGAGCTGGCCTGGGTTGTCTCAGTCCTCTTCTATCAGGTGATCCCTGCATTTCTACTTTATAAGCTCTCTGTCTTTCCACTTTGCAAGTCCTTTGAATTTCCACAAAGCATTTAAGGATCGGCTTGTCAATTGCCACACCAAAAAAGTGTTTGAGTTTGACTGGATTTTGATGGAGTGCATAGACCAGTTTGGGAACCATTTTCTATCCCTATAATATTGAAACTTCCATCCATTAACATGGTATGTCCCTCCGTTTCCTTTGACCGATCTCTCTTTACCTCCAGTTTTTAATGGTATTGATATTCATTTCAATCCCACATATATCTTACACCTAGCAAGACATTGCTATTATTATGTTCAGTCAATTCCCACTTATATTCAGTTACAGAGTTGTTCTTTCTTTTGCTTTCCTGCTTTCCTGTGTTTCTGGGATTCTGAGATCGTGTTCCTCCTACTTGAAGAACTCTTTTTAGTATTTCTTTTAGTGTACAACTGTTCACAGCAAATTTTCTTAGTTTTTGAATAGAAATGTCTATTTCAAATTCATTTTTAAAGGATTTTGCGGGGGGGAATAGAATTCTAGGCTGACATTTTCTGTCAAGAGTTTTAAAATGGCGTTCATTGTCTTCTTACTTCCATAATTGCTGTTGACAAGTGAGTTATCATCTTTTGTTTCTCCTTGGAAAGTAATGCATCTCCCTCTCCTTCCCACCCTTAGCTGCTTTTAATATTTTCTCTTTATCTTTGGTTATCAAGAATTTGAGTATGGTATACCTCCAGGCAATTTTCCTTTTATTTATCCACCTTGGGAGTAGCAAACCTCCATAAGTTTTGGAAAATTCTCGGCCCATACTTCTTCATATATGATTTCTGCCCGTTCTTCCTCTCCTCTTCTGAGACTCCAATTACACACCTGTTAGCTCTCCCTGCAGCTCCTGCAGGACTCCTAGGCACTGGGCTGCCTTTTCCACTCCCTGCCCTCTTCCATTTTACTAAATCTTTCTTCTGCTATGTCTAATTGTAGTTAATCTATATGCCGAGTGCTTAATTTCAATTACTGTGTTCTTTCAGTTTTAAATTTCCATTTGATGCTTTGTGATCAATTCCCACTCTCTGATGAAAGTCGCTGGTTTGTCAGTCATACCAATACCTGTGACATCAATGGGTCAGTTTTACTGTGTGTGTTTCCCTCTTTGGTTCTGTCACTTGGAATGTTTGACAATATATTGTCCAGCGCTGACCATTGTGATAAATTACGGGTGCCCCGGGAGACGGGACTCCTTCAGAGAGGGCTTACTGTATCCTCTGGCTGACAGAATGGGGAGAGGTCACCTTAATGCAGTGCAGTAGTGAACTAACTGGAGTCTGGGTTGTTGGCTTCTTGCTTTCGTTTTTGCATTTAAGAGAGAGCACGAGTTGGGTGGGGTGGTGGGAGGCAGACGGAAAGGGAGAGGGAAATTTTAAGTAGGCTCCACACTCAACACGGAGTCCTACACAGGGCTCGATCCCACAGCCCTGAGGTCATGACATGAGCCAAAATCATGACCTGAGTCAGTTGCTTTACCAACTGAGCTACCTTGGTGCCCCTGGGTTGCAGTTGTTGTAAGGTTCTATGACCACCTCTGGCTTTCCCCCATTTTTAGGGTGTAGTCTTCGAAGGGTACCATTTCGATCACCAAATGAGGCTCTGGTGTGTTTACTAGGCTCCTCTTCCTTAGTGGGTCATAAACTCCAATTTTTATCTCCTCAGTGTCATGGTATTGTGCAAAAAGAAAGCAAGAGAGAGAGAGAGAAAGGAAGAGAGAGAGAGGAGGAAAGGAGAGGAGAGGAGAGGAGGAAAGCCCTGCCATCTTTCATGGGCTTTCTGCATAAATTAATTCATAACTTCATAATCAGCAAATGCCTCAAAGGGAAAAACCCTAAGTGTCAGAATTACTCTTCTATCTCCTTTCTTTTCAACCTCTTGCCTCTTCAGTCCCAGCTGCTTTGGCAACCTCAATCTCCAATTTCTTGTCTTGTCTCTCCAACTTCAGACACTCTGCTGCCTTTACTCTCTCTAAGCCTCAGCCCTCTGCCCAAAAGGCCAGCCCCTTAATGAGAATCAATGCATTGCCTGAAGGAATAAAGTGGTTCACAGAATGTCAGCTCACCTCCTTGTGTTTTCCTCCTTCAGAGATCATGGCTCATCAGCTTGTCAATTTGGGAGCTCTCCAGTGACTTGAAAAGAGGTTTTCTGTATTTTATTCAGCTTTTCTAGTCATTTATCGGCACAAACATCACTCTACCCAACACAGAAAAGTAACATTTTTCTCAGAATTCCCCCAAAAAAAAAGAATTCTCAACAAAGACTGATTTTATACAAGGTGTTGGATTACACGATTCGTGGGAAGGCTGGTGAAGCCAGAAGAAGAAAATTGCTTGTGTCATCTGTTTTTGTGATAATTGCATGTAACAAACTTTCACAACATCTCAGAGTTGTACTGAAATGAGCATTTATTTCTCATCCATCTATGGCCAGCTGAGTGTGAGCCTGTCGAGATCAGGCAAGTCACTTTCAAACAGGAGGTCTGGCAGGGTTCAGGTCCTCACCCAGGCCCACTCTGCATTTGTTCATTCTGAGCACAAGCTGGAAGAGCAGCAGCTCCCCGGGGTAGGCTGGTGCGGGGGGGGGGGGTGCGGTCTTTCCAAAGAGAAGGCAGAAGGGCAAGCACAGCTCCACTCTCTGCTGGGTTTACTTAATATCTCATTGGCTGAGCCCTGCTGTGTGGCCAAGTTCAAAATCAAGGGGCAGGGAGGCAAACTATGCCTTTTTATGAGAGGAACTGCAAGCTGCATGGCAGTGGACATAGCTGCAGGGAGGGGTGGAGAATTGGGGTGGTCATTCAGTGCACTTTAGTGATGTGTTGTAGAGATGGGGACCTCCGGGGGCCCGTGTGTGGCTGTGCAAGGCTCTCTGAGATGGGGAGACCTCAGGACTGGGCATCTGCCACCAGGCTTCAGAGCCGCTGCTGTCCACTGCTTCCCTCTAGTGGTGAGTGACCAGAACTTGCACAGCCACTTGCCAGGTAACTTTTTTTTCTGATTTTTCACCTGGAATTCTCTGCCCAGATTACTGCGAGAGCCTGGAGCATGCTGCTGGCCAAAGTATGAGAGTCCAAGACAGAAAAGGACGATTTTTACCCTCTTTCTGCTGTCGAATCTCACCCAATTATCTCACATTTGGCAAACTCAACCTGGAACACTGTTCATAGGAGAGTCTGGGAAATCTAATTTCCAGACAATGTAATATAGACCTTTAAGGGGATGGGTATGGTGCTGTGTCCCACCCACCCCCCGGGGTAA